CTAGGTTATTTGTCTCCATACTCTTACAGTCTCCATGGCTGCTTGTACATGTGATGGGAGTTTAGTTCCCCTAAATTGAAATGGTCAGTTTTCAATTGTGACGATTAAAAAGCCACTGTTTCAATTTAGGGACTTCCATCACTGTTAGGGTGAGGGGCCCAGTCCTTTTTGCTTTCTTTTTTTTCTTAGTGCAGCTTGCCCATGGATGGGAGGTGAGCTGCAAATGGGCCCTGAGCTGTGGGGAGCCCCAGGCCTTCCCTCCGAGATGGGGCAGCACCTGGTCCACTAGCAGTCTTCCTGGGCAGCCCCAGGGGAGCACTGCTACTGTGCAGGGAAGGGCTGGGTCCCCCCCCAGAGCTCAGGGCACACTGGCAGCTCACCCCCCAGCTGCGAGCAGGTTCTGCCAAAAAGAAAAAAAAGCATCATGTCCCTTGCTGCTATTTTTTTTTCCTGATTGGGCTTCCAGCAGCCCATGTGCGGTCCTCACTGCCTTCCAACAGCCTGGGACTGCCCATCTGGGAATGGGCTGGCTTGTCCCTGGGGCAGTGCAGGAAGGCAGCAGGAGAGTAGATGGGTGTGCTGGAGGCCGGAGAAGGTGGCAAGGATTGTGCACGGAGGCTGGGAGCCCACCAAGCCTGAGTTTCCCTGAGCACCCCCAGGCTTCCAGTGCCCTGTACATTTTCTTTCCCATCTTCTCTGACCACCAACATACCAAGCTGCCCTCTTGCCACTTCCCCGTGCTGCCCCAGGGGCAAGCTGGGTGTTCTGGTAGCCAGAGAAGGTGGCGGGGATGGTGCATCCATCAGGTATGGATGTATTGTTACAATTTGTAAGGTAGCTGTCATGGCGGGGTCCTTCAGGAGGGCCTTGATCTCCTTAAGGCCCTCTCTCCGTGCCAATTCAGCCCAAGGGCACCCTCAAATTCTCGCCCGCCACATCTTTGATGTTTATGTATAGTTGGGAGGCTGCCTACGACTCCCTGGGCACGGTTAGCTGGGACCTCTGTCCCCGTGTGTTCCCGGACCCCCTTGGGGTCTCCCGGTATGATGGGTGCTCCCCAGGCACCCTAGCCTTCGGGGCTACACGTGGCTCCTACCAACCCCTAATACCATGCCCCAAGCCTTGCAGATGGGATAGACGCTGGTATGTCTCTCTATATGTACCCGGCCCGTCTCTCGGGCCTCCTCTATGTACCCTCGCCCGCTTTCTGGGGCCTCCTCTTCTATGATGCCCTCTCTTGGGTTCTCTGAGTCCACTCTGGGCTTCCCTGAAATGTCACCCCTCTCTGGGGGTCTTCTCTGTGATGTTCCCCCTGTCTGGGGCCTTTGCAATACTGCCCCCTCCTGGGGCTCTCCCTGCAACGTTGCCCGCACTCAGGCTTCTAAAATACAGCCCCCTGTCTGGAGCTCTCTGCGCCCACTCTGGGGACTTCCCAGCAATGCCCCCTGACTCTCAGGCCCACCACGCTGCTCTCCCCTTCTCTCAGGGCACACTGTGCTGCTACCCCCTCTCACCAGGGCAACTGCAGCACTCTACCCTGCTCCGGGGCTTGCCGCAGTACTAGCTGTTCTTCAGAGGCTCACCGTGCCCGCACTGGGCCTCCTAACAATATTGCCCCCTCTCTAGGGCTTGCTGTGCCCGTCCTGGGCTTCCTAATAACACTGCCCCCTCTCTGGGGCTCATCGTGCCCCTACTGGGCTTCCTAATAATATGGCCCCCTCTCTGGGGCTCGTCGTCCCCACACCGGGCTTCCTAGTAATATTGCCCCCCTCCCTGGGGCTTGTCGTGCCCGCCCTGGGGCGTCTGAGGTCTATGTACCCCGCACACAACCCGGGGTC